AACCAGTCCCCACAAACTGAGGTTTGTTATCTTACAGTCCTGTAGGTCTGAGGTCCTGAAGTCAAGGTGTTGGCAGGGCTGCACTCTTCCTAGAGGCTCTGGGGGAGAATCAATTTTCTTGCCTTTTCCAGCTTCTAGAGGTCGCCTGCTTTTCTTGGCTCATGGCCGCTTTTTCCATCTTCAGTGCCAGCAATGGCAGATTGAGTCCTTTTTCATCAATTCACTACAACCTTCTCTTCTGCCCCTCTTCCACTTTGAAGGACCTTTGTAATTATATTGGGCCCACCTGAATAATCCAGGATACTGTCCCTGTCTTAAAGCCAGGTGATTGGTGATCTAAATTCCATCTGCAGGCTTAGTTCCCCTTTGCCACCAACATGACACATTCACAGGTTCCAGGGATTAGGACATAGACAACTTTGGAAGCTGTTATTCTGCCCACCACCGTGGAGTTGCTCCAGTTGCTGTTTCCTGCCTTCAGGGGCTGCTTTCTTTTGGGTTCTTCTGTTTTTGTCTCCAGGTGCCTCTGTGGCAAGCTCTTTATGTTTTCTTTAGCCTCATACTCAGTGTCATTTTCAGCCTCATCCACCTCCTCATTCCTGTGTTTAGTTTTGCTGAAAAGTTTTAAGGGACTTCCCTTTCTTCAGAGTCTTCTTCATTCTCTCTATTTATATTCTGGTTGACATTTTCCCTCTCCTATTCCTGCCCATCTGAAGTAAGAGCAGCTGCTGTCCTATTCTCTGTCATACTGATCTTCCTCACCATCTTCGTTGGCACCTCATCACTTCTGATTAGGGCAGCTTTCCTGTTTAGTTTCTTGGTTGGCACAGCTCCCTTCTTGCCTGGTGTGGCTGTGCTGTGGTGGCTGGTGTGACTGGTTATTTGGAAGTGTGGTGGCTGCTTTGATTTTGCATAGGGTGACAGCTGCTTTCTTGGAAGCTGCAGTCTTTTTAGCAAGGAAACCATATCCTCCTTTCCTAGAGTTGTGGCAAACTTCTTGCCTTTGTTCCGAAGGATAACAGCCTCTTCACTGTTGCTCATCTACATGTTCTGGTATTTCATTCTTGTTACTGATGTCTGTCTCCTTTGGAAGAGTAGCCATTTTCTATATTTCTTGGTTCCACCTGTAGTTGATACCTCATGATATGAGAGGGAGGAGGCGGGTGAATGGCTTGGGTGAGCCAAGAAGCGGCTGAGCAGTGTTGATGCAGGCTGCAGAGCTGAGAATATGGCGGTAGAGCTGGAAAAAGAACAAATCCTGAATGCTAGGAATTATTTATATGTAAAGTTAGCAGTATATTTTATTTTAAAAAAATGGTTTTGTCCAGTTTTGAATTTTAAGTATTTTTCAAAGTTCAGTTTTATATAAATTACCTAATACCAGCACAGTCTTAGCCTTTTCTTGATTGTTCTTGGCAATATTTATGTTTCCATTTCCATTACCTCGGGTCAGTGCTATATTGATCACCAGTTGGAATTTCTTTGTTTTCTATTTGTTCCTGTCTCCTCCCAGTGCATTCTGTACCCAACATATTAGTATTATCAGAAATCTTTAATGTCTCCTGTTACCCATAAAATGAAAATCATCTTTAGTATTCAAAAGCCATGAGAAATCCTTTGTTGTAGACAGAGGCTTTCAAACTTTTTGGCTGTAATCTATAAAAAATAAGAAATTTTACATTGTGTTCCAGTATATACATACATGTGTGCATGCAACTGAAACAAAAATTTCACAGAATGGAGCTCTTATTAAGAAAGATGCAGTCATGTGTATTCTATTTCAGTCTACTTCTGTCCATTAAAAAATGCTGGGTTTTTATCTAGTAAATTGGTTTCATAACCCATTAATAGGTTACTTGGAGTTTAGAAATACCTTGTTGGACTACAATAGCAGAAAAGTATGTCCTTTGGAGAAGGGCTACTTGAGGAAGTGAGGACGGGAATTTCATGGTGGGTGCTCAGTGCCCCTATAGGTTTATCTAACCAGGAATTCTTTACCCTCTCCAAGCTGCATATCTTGTCCCCTCAATGTATTGACATACACACTCTACTTCTGTGAAGACGTTAGGCATGTTTGGGAGCTTTACACTGGCTTTTAGAAGAAAAGATATAATCACCTCACCCTTATAAAAATCTCCTACATTATAAGTCAGCACCAAAGTGAAGGCTCTGCAGGTGGCTCCAGAATGACCCCCATACTTTGCCTCCTCCTCATTTTTCAGTGTTTTACCTGTGCAAGACCCAGTGTTTATCTCACATCCTCACAAAGTCTCTTTCAGCTGCTCAGCCCTTCTTCTGCATTCTTGTAGTACTTGTCTCCAGAATATTAATACTTGGCACTTAGAATATGCTACTTTCTATCATGTTTTCATAGACATACCTCCCTTTCCAACTAATGAATCTATTGAATCACCGTACATTATTTTAAAAATTTTAAATT